CGCAGGAGGCAGGATCCCAGCCGGCCCAGGCCACACCCTTCCCCGCCCGGCCCCACAGTCCGGCGCCCGCCCTGGCCACTCCCTGCCCCCCGGCAATGCCAACGAGCCACTAGGGAGGAGCTGGACACACTTCCCAGGCTGGGACACAAAGGCTCAAATGGCCACACGGCATGGGGGCTGGAAATAACCACTGTTCTTCCCCTCTCTGTGCCAGGGGAGGAAAGTGAGGCTGCCACCAGGGAGAGATTTTGGTCAAAAATTGTCCCCATACCTACCCCTGTTCCACTCCAGGATTCCCCTCCAGCCTGGGAGCGTGGTGGCCCATTGTTCACTCAGGGAAATGGCCAGGATTTGCCTCCATGGTCAGGCAGCAGCACCTCCCACCTCCAAAAAGTGGTGTCTATCCATATCCACCCACCCGGGTGTGCTTTTAACGTGGTGTGCACCCTGGGAAGTTAGACAGGTGTGTCTGATGGGAATCCAGAGGATAGATCTCAAGTTCCCTAGCTGTGGGCAGGCAACTTAAACCAGAGAACTCCTCTTCACTCTTCAAGACCCAGTGCCAAATGCCACTGCTCTGAAAGATGTTCCCTCTTGTCACCCAGAAAGATGAGAACCATCCCCCACCCATTTAGCTCACTCTGCGCACCTGGACTCCATCACATGCTGCCATCACGTTGCTTGAGTAACTGTTCATAGAGACACTTGGTTATATCACTGCCCACTGCTCCAGAACTTTCTATAGCTCCCTGCCACTTACCAATCCCCAAGCTTGTGTTCTCTGGGCCTCCCCACCTTAAATGACCCAGGTCCTTGTGGTCCTGGCACACAGCAGGCGTTCAATAAATGCGGGATGAATCAGGGCCAGCAGCACTCCATGTGGCTCTCATCCAGGATGGGTGTGGGTGGAGGACTGAGAAAACGGGGGTGTCTTCCAGACCCTTCTGGATGCAGAACAGCCTCCCAGCATAGAACATTCCAGCTCTAATGAATAAATCTACCCTTGGCTCATTTTCTCACACGAAAACACTTTCTTTTGGAGCCGGTGTTAGAAGGGCAAGGAAAAAAACGCCCTTAGATAAGTAAAAATGCAAGTGCCAGCCAGCAATAAGGATTGAAATTTGAGATGACTGTAATGAAAACTGAATTCCAGGTGACCAGGTTATCCCATCCAGTCACCTGGCCAGGTGTCCCAGGAGAGGGAGCATCCCCAAGGGTCCTGGATTCTGGTTCCCTCCCTGCCTGAGGCCACTGTCGTGCGAGGGAACACCCACCTGCCATGATCCCAGGTGAGGCTCCGTTAGCGTCCTTGGGTTCCACTGGGCCTCGCCCCACCCTGGGGAACGGTCCCTCCGACTGCATGAGCTTCAGAAATAAGGACCCATCCTGAGCAGCGGACACTTTACCTTCATCAGAGATTCAGGCAGTCAACCAACAGCCTTTGGTGACTCGTTTGTCACTGAGCATGTCCTCAAGGTTCATCCATGTTGTAGCAGGTGTAGAATGTCTGAATAATACATAGCCCACCTTCTGGATGACCTCATAGTGTTTACCCACCCATCCACTGAGACATGGGCTGCTCCTTTGGGCCATTGTGAACATGCTGCTGTGGCCATGGGGGTGCAGGTTCTGAGTCCGTTTTCAGTTCACTTAGGTGACCCTCCACCTGGAAGTGGGAGTGCAGGATCCTATGGTGATTGAATCATTTTTTGAGGAACCATCAGACTCTTTGCCACAGCAGCTGCCCCACCGGTTGTGCACGAGGGTTATTTCTCCAGCTACTTGTGAACTTCTCAAAAACCAGTGGTTCTCGAAGGTGTGAAGTGGTATCTCACTGTGGTTTACAAACTCTGCCAGCATAGTCACCAGTGAATTCTGGTGCTGTCGGCATGTCCCCTCTGACAATGATGGTCGGATTTGGGGTCAAATTGTGCTGGGAAATGTGTGCCATTCAGTGATTTCAAGCTGGATGGGGAAGAGGTCAGCTTTGTGCCCACCACCCACGTATGTTTGCAAGGTGCATGGTGGGCTGGCCAACCCCCTCGAAGCCCTCGTACAGTGGCCTGCAGAGGACAGGCAACCTTCCAGGACTATGCTGGACAGAGTTATGGAGGCCGCCTGCATGTTGATGTTCCACCTCCCAGGGTGTCAGAAGCTGCTGCGTGGGCAGGTACCACAGCCCCAGGCCCAAGTTAGAACATGGGGACAGCCCCAGGGTGTGGGGACCCTACACCTTCCCTGCCAAGGACACCCCAGCAGTTGAAAGTTCAGGGTGGTTTGGGGATGCTTCTGGCCCTGGAAGTATGTGCAGGGTGAGGGACAGTGGAAACAGTACCTCCCCCTCCCCCCCACGCTCCCAGGGAAAAATCCAGATCCAGGGGACTGCCAGAGCAGAGGCCGGTACAGTCAGCCCATCTCACAGCAACCTGCCAACTCTGACGCAGACTTGGGCAACAGCACCAGCTCAGATCCAGCCCCAAGTCACCTATCGAGGCAACAACAAAGTGGAGGGCTGGGGTTCCATGTGGCCAGGCCCAGGTTCAGGGCCCAGAGGGTCTTAGGCTCTGGCAGGTGAGCTACCCTAGGGGAGCCTGAACCCATCTTGAAATTCCCCCTCCATCTCCTGGAACCTCTGAAGACCAAGTTCCATGCCCCCAGCTTTGCTGACCAGCTGCTAGACCCCACTCTGCGTGTGTGGATCATGATGTAGTCCCTAAAACCAGTTGGACCCTTGCCTGACATGAACAAGACAGCTCTCGGTGTCATTCTGTCCTGGATAGGGGAGGGGGAAGGCAAGAGCCACAGAAGTGGATAGAGGGTGGGCCCAGTCCCATCACCAGGCATCCGCTGCAGGGTATGGCCGAGCCACCCGCTTATGAGGACATAGAGCCCTGGGGAAAGTGAACTCCAATTAGCCTAAAAGCATGAACTCAGTGCTGGCTCCTGGCCTGCAGTTGCAGTTACGATGGCACCTGACAAATTACGTTGAGTTCTCTGGATCATTAAGTGGTACTGTCATTGAGGGGTAGCTTTCGGGAAGGTTCTGAGGGCAGCCTTGGGGCTCACACTTCTGGGCTGGCCTCCAGGTGCTGACTGGACTGGTGGTGCCCCCAGGGCAGGGAGGCCCCTGGCACCTTGGCCCAGAACTGGCTGCTACCCGTGTCCTTGCCTTGATCAAGGTTGAGGAGACTTGGTAGCCATCAGATGTGACCAGTGTGAACCCACTGCTTTCCCTGGGTCACAGCCACCTTGGTGACCTCAGCCTGTAGCTGAGGCTAAGCCTCCCCACCCCCGCCCATAGAGAGTGGCCTGTTCTTCAAGGTCATGCAAAGGCACCAGGGTGACAGATGAGTATCTGAATAGTCTGAGAACCACAGCTTCCCAACACGATTTTTTTTAAATCAGGCCTGACAGCCTGTCTTGAGGGTCCTGGAGCCCAGCCTGGGACTTGGGACAACCCTCAGCACACACGGAAGACTAAAGAGGACAGACTTTTAGATCTTTTGTTAACAAAATAGCACCAACTGGACACAACAGACACGAGTGGATCAACACAGACAAAACGATCCCTCATGCAAGTAACAATCCAAACACGGAACCAGGGAAAGGAGAGCTTGTAACAGAGCTGTTGGTCTGGGGGCTTTGGCCCAGTGGCCCCAGGATGGGTGGCTCTGCAGGGCCGTCGCTGGGTAGGAGTCTGGTCCTTGCACTCATTTTGTAGGCCGGGTAATGATGCGCGTGGAGAAGTCAAACAGGTCTCGATTGATCTTGCGCAGGTTCTGCACCTCGTCTTCCAACTCTGTGATTCGGATCCGCAGCTGGTCCTGGCCGCCCAGCACATTCTGGGAAGGAGCAGGGTTGGGGGGTGGAGGCGCTCATGGTGGAGGGCCCTCTGACATTTTGGGATGTGGGAGGGCAGAATCTCCTCTGCAATTAACAGTCCCATTCCACCACACCCCACTCCAGCCTCACCCTTCTCCATGGCCCTACCCACCTTTTCCATTGTGCTGCACATTACCATGTGCAGCTGCTCTGCTCGCTCCAGGTAGCTGGGCTCCGATCCCTGCAAAAGGGGCTGCCTTAGTGACCTCTGGGCTCACCATCCCACTCACACCACCCAAAGGTGAGGGGGTGCCATCCGGATGCTGCTCACAGATGGAAGACAGGTTCCAAGTGTCGCTCACTGAGTGGGATGCTCCACCTCCAACCGACACCCAGCAGGAAGCACCATGTCAGCCTCCTTAGATCTGCTGCCTGTTGCAGGACTGTGCCCAAGGGATGGGGACAGTCAAGGCCACACCACGGATGTGGGATGAGAGCCAGGCTTTCGGGGATATGCAGAAACCAGGGCCAAGAAGGCTCTAGAAAAGGACCAGCTAGCATGTGGGCAGCACCTCCCACCCACTGACACGCATGGACATTGCGCAGTGGAGAGCCCGTCCACCTCCTGCTAGATGCAGTCTAGACATGCTGCCCTTGGCGGGCAGACAGGCACTCGGTCCTGCCATCCATCATGATGTCTGAGCGAGGGGCCTGGACACCCTTGTGGAGCTCATGATTCCAGGGCACGGGAACAGTGGACAGAGGTGGACTAAGCAGAGACAGAGTGGCAATGTCAGGCCCTGCCGAGGACGGGCCAGGGGTGATCTCTGGCGGGGAGCTCCTGGTGGGCACCAGGGGAGTGAGCGCTGCCTACTGTCCTGCTGGAGAAGGCACTGGATACAGCGTCTTTGGTCGGGCTTGTCTTATTTGAGAATGTACCCGGTATGTGGTCTGCTTCTAGTGTGGAAGGTGCTTTTCATTGCCTGGGCTCAGCAATGCATGCAGAGGGGTCTCCTCGCTGACCGCCTATGTGGAGGGTCCTCCCTCACAGGGATCCTGGCCGGGAGCCCTACCCGCAGGGAACACAGACGTGCTGCAGAGGCTGAGCCGGGGCAGGGAACCTGCTGGGCCAGTACCTGCTGGTGGAGGCCCAGGCGCAGAGTAAGGCCCCCGCGGCGCTGCTCATCCCCATGCTCAGCGCCCAGCAGGTGCTTGTTGAAGTGTGGCAGGGGCAGGCTGGGCCGGAAGTCGGAGCTCAGCATGCTGACCGGCGCCAGCATAATGAAGGCGTTGGTCACGGGACCTGGGTAGGGCAGGTGGCCAGTCAGAAGCTACCTCGGCCAGGCCTGGGCCATGGCTCCCACACCCTCCACTCCTCAAACCCACCCACCTGTACAGGAGTGGCCCATCTCCTTTCCTCTTGCTGGTACTACCTCCCAGCATCCAGCCAAGTGGCTGGGGTGTGGACAAACGGGCAAAGCCACCCAGCTTACAGCCTGTTGGTCTTCTGCCCCCAGCCCCACCTTTGAGGGTCACTGTCCTGATGCACTGCTTGCTCTGGATGTCCCAGACGCGCACGGTCTCGTCATGTGAGCCGGAGAGCAGCACGCTGCCATCAGTGGACACTGACAGGCAGGTCACCTGGTTCCTGGGGACACAGGTCTGAGAAAGGGTGGCCCAAATGACCCCCGACCCCAGGAGCTAGAGAACAGGGCCCCTCCCCAGCTACCAGTCTGGTCCCCACACCTGTGGCCTTTGAACACCTTCCCGCTGTCCTGTTCTGACTGGAAGCTCTTCTCGCTCTGTCCAGGCTGTGGAGGTCGAGGGGCAGTGAGCAGAGGGATACAGTTGTACCTCAGCCCTGGGGGCCCCAGGGCATTGGGGTGATGGGCTGGGGCAGAGCCCAATTGGCTCAAAGACCTAGATGCAGGGGAGGATGGACAGTCCCAGGGCCTTTGAAGGATGGACCCTGGGTGTCCCACTGTCCCATAAGCCTCCAACCAGGGGCCCAGGCACCCACCACTCACCCAGGTGCAGAGGTCGACCTGGAAGATGGAGCCCTCGCTGCCACCGCAGAACATGTGATGCTCAGCTAGGTCCATGGTCACAGCCATAATCCCCACGTCAAAGAGCACAGAGAGCAGCAGCTCGCCCGAGGAGATCTCCCACAGCTGGGGGCAGGCGGACATGGGATGGGGCTCAACAGACACTGGGGTCCCAATGGTGCAGGGAGCAGAGCAGCCCTGAATGGGAGACCCTGTACCAGAACCTCAGAAGGGAGCTGTCACTCAGGGGGATCTCGGCACTGGGGCACTTCCTAAGACACAGCTGGGTTCTCAGGCCCAGGACCCCTTGTCACTCCATGTTAGCTGCTGTCAGGCCTGGATTCTGCCTTCCACCACCACCACCACCACCACCACCACCACCACCAAGGTCAAGACCTAAAGGCTGGACAGCGTCGAATCCCCGAGGAGTCAGGGAGCCACCAGGGGCGGGTGGCCAAGCGAGAATTTCGGCCAACACAGGCCTAGTTTGCTGTCCCATGGATGTCCTTGAGGTGGGAAGTCTTGGGGGATTGATAGCTGTATAGCGCTACCAGCCTGGGGGGAGCAGGAGATTCACTGACTCACATCAGCCAAGAGCCTGCCAGCTATCCTAGCCCAGCTCACAGATCCACGGTGGGGGAGGGGGCCGGTCCTACCTTCACCGTCTGGTCCAGCGATGCTGTGGCCACCCGGGCCAAGGGACCCCCAAAGCCACAGTGCATGTCTGTGATGGGGAGGGTATGGTGGGACCAAACATGCCGAGGGGCTGGGGTCCTGGAGGAGTCCACCTGTAGCACGCTGCAGGAGAAGTGGATTCAGGGGGAGGGCTGTACCTGATGCCTCCACCCACCTCCCCAGCCACTGGCCCATCCCACTGGCAGAAAATTCTCAGATGCCTCCAATCAGTCCCTGGACAAACCAATCACACTGTCCTCACAACAGTCCACCTGACTTGCAGGCCCCAGACCCAGTTCCTTCTTGCCGCGGGACTTTGGCGTGGCCTTCCGCAGGGCAGGCTCCCTGCCCTCTGGGCTGAGCCCCACCTGGCTGGAAGCTACAGACTAGGCACAGGCCCGAGTGGGTCAGGGCGCTACCTGCACAGGCTCCACACCAGCACCAGGCAGTCCTTGCCGCCCGAGAGAAAGTGGCTGCTGTCCCCTGTGAACTGCAGGCAGGAGATGTCCTGGTAGTGGCGGCTCAGGATGACCAGGAGGTTCCCTGTGGAGACCTGGGGAAGGCAGGGCACACGCAGGTCAGGGCAGGACGCAGGGTGCAGTGCCGGGCCCTACAGTTAGCAGGTTACTGAGGTGAAGGGAGAGTCTGCCCAGGGGCAGGGAGAAGGGTGGTATGACGACAGCATCCAGAAAAGGAACGGGTGGGAGTGACAAAGCTGGGAGGGAGCTGGTCCTTTCCGGAGCAGCTCCTCATGGTGACTGTCACAGCAGGACGTCACAGTCTGCCAGGCCAGCGGTGAGGGGCTTCCAATGCAGCCTCGACACTTGGTCTAGCAGGAGGAAGGGGGGAAGTTAGGGCCAGACAGCAACCCCAATGGCCTGGAGTGCTATGACTGTCCCCCATCAAAGAGGGGGGACCTCCTAAGATGCCCCCATCAGGCCACAAGCCACTGGTTTCTATCATGCCCCCGGCACCAGGCTGGCAGCAATCAGGGCAAAGGTTTCTACCATGATGGGCAATCTGTGAGGAGCCTCTCCCTGCCTCCGTTTCTCTCCCTGTGCATGAATAACTGCTTCCTTGTTTCAGAACCAGGACTAAGGCTTAAAAGTCCCAGAATGAGGTAACAAAGCTTCTCCCATCTTGCAGAGAACTCAGTTCCCTTGGCAGACCTCTATTTTGCAGGTCAAGGTTAAGGTCAGGCAAGGCAGAGGTAGTTATACCCACCTTCTGGCCCCAAATCCTACACTGTCAGCACAGGAGATGAGGCAGGGGAGGGGGAAGGCAAGGAAAGTGACAGGGCAAGGACTAGTCCCCGGTTGATCCACTCATGTCTGTTATGTCCTGTTGGTGACAACACTGTTGGTGGTCTAACTCTGCAGTCCATAGGCTAAGTCCCATGACACTCACCTCCCATAGGTATATGCTCTCTGCAATCCCTGCCAACATATAGAGGCCGTTGGGTGATGTGGTCAGACAGGTAACAGGCCCGGGGCACATGATCTTCTGCTGGAGCTGGTCCTAGAGGAACATAAGAAGCCTATGAGCTTCATGCAGGACTTGGGAGCCAGGGAGCAGTGAGGAGAGTGAGTGGGGGGTGCCCAGGCAGCTGGTAAATCCATGAAAACCAGAAAGAATGGGGATAGAGATGGTTTGAGCAAATTCACGGTTCAGTAAAGAAGTGTTCACTCCAGCCCAGGCTTTGCATGCTGGAGGTGGAGAATGGCAAATCCTTGGATAACAGCAAGGTGGTGTTCCTGCCTGGATGCAAGGTGTGGTTCTGTGGGTGAGCGTAACCTATGAACCAGGAGGTCACAGTTCGATTCCCGGGCAGGGCACATGCCTAGGCTGTGGGCTCATTCCTCAGTGTGGGGCATACAGGAGGCAGCCAATCAATGATTCTTTCTCATCACTGATGTTTCTCTTTCTCTCTCCCTCTCCCTTCCTCTGTGAAATCAATTTAAAAATAGATACATATATTTTTTAAAAAAGAAAAGACGGTGCTCTTCTGGGCATAGGGATGGGGGTGGGAGAGGCACAGAGGGTCCAGGAGGGCGTTGGGGCTGAAGAACCCAAAGGCCAGTCGTCTCATTCCCCAATCCTGCCTTCCTAAGGCCCCCCCACCTTGACCTTGAACCTCAATTTCCAAATCTCTAAAATGGGAAAATGTAAGTTCTGTGTGGCCCACACCAGGCAAAGCCCCAAGAGATGCCAGCTGGCAGAAAAAGGCAGCATGTAGCTGCAGGAGCAGCATTTTGGGGTTGCTTTAAGAGGAGACACCATGGGCTCCGAGGAGGGATCGTCTCTCTTTTCGGAGGATAAAAGTCTCCCGTGCTATGTTTTCAGGGGGCTCACCAGGCCTCAGACCTTTACTTTCTAAACCTACGAGACCCATGAGACCCCAACTACAAACCCTCCCTTTAAATTTAGCACCCTTAGAAGTTTGCTGACCCATCCCTGAGTCCGGTGCTAACAAACAGGCCTTAGAATGCACCTTGACAACCCCATCCCCCATCCCCCAGCAAGCAGTCAAGAAAAAAAATGGATGGAGCCCTAATCGGTTTTGCTCAGTGGATAGAGCGTAGGCCTGCGGACCAAAGGGTCCCATGTTCGATTCAGGTCAAGGGCAGATGCCCAGGTTGTGGGCTCGATCCCCAGGAGGGTGCGTGCAGGAAGCAGCCAATCAATGATTCTCTCTCATCATTTATGTTTCTACTCTCCCTCTCCCTTCCTCTCTGATATCAATAAAAAACCATTAAAAAAAAAATGGGTGGCCCTAGCCAGTTTGGCTCAGTGGATAGAGCATTGGCCTGCGGACCAAAGGGTTCTGGGTTAGATTCTGGTCAAGGGCAGGTACCCTGGTTGCAGGATCCCTGGCCCAGACCCTGGCGGGGGCTCATGCAAGGCAAACAAAATCGATGTTTCTCCCACCTGATGTTTCTCTCTCTTT